GTTTTTATATAATCTCATTTTAATTTCAATTAATTTATTGTCTTTATCATGTGCTATGTATGAAATGTTACGCCAGTCTTTGTGGGATGTATGAAGGGGCGTGTAATGTGTGATGAAGGTTCCCAACTTTAAGCAATAATCTGCTCAATTTATTTTACAGACTGAATGAATTGTCGATGTTTAAAGCAGTGTGAAATTATATCATGTATGGGTATCATATCAGATCAGGAATTTAATAATGATATCAAGATTAATTTATGTACCTGCCCTCAGGAGTGACATATCTAATGCAGTGTTTGTCATATATTTTTCCATAATGCTCATTTGTGTCTCTAAAGCAGCACTAAGGAGATGTATTTAACACGGGTTTTAATCAGATTTGTTAATCTCTTTTTTATCACAAATTTAATGTGCAATGTTTTAATAGCTCGTGGCCGCTTTTGTTCATGTTCTTGCTGATTTGGCCTTTTTGTAAACATGTCTAGTGAGTGTGTGACCGTGTATGTGTGCGTATGTGAGAGTTCGGAGAACGAGTGACGTCACCGCGCTAAGGAAATGCCGATACGGCCATGCCATGTCGGACGGGAAGGTGGCGGGGCAGAGCGGAGCAAGGCGTGGGGCGCGGGGGTGGGGAGGAGTGGGGTAGGAAACGCGAGGCGCAGCTTCGTCTGCTGGTGACGCCAGGCACCTGATCGCACCCCTGGCCTCCTGACGCAACTGTTGACTTGCCCAAATGGTACCTTCAGCTCGTATCGCCTTGCTCCGGCCTTGCTCTGCACGCGCTAGTCGTCTGGACTTTGTTTTAAGTTGATTTGCAAGTTAAATTGATACTTTGTCATTTAATGTGATCTGATGTCATAGTAAACTAACAGACGTATACACCCTGTGCCATATGGAACGCAACGGGTTTAACTCTTGTAAGCTCCATGTTTAATTTTTGTCTCTTATCTTTTTATAAAGTAATGTTTTGCACGGCCTGCGTCCGTGGTCTAAGTCAATCTGAATTAAGGATACTGTGACGTCACACATTTACAAAGGCAGACATGCAGTGACCTGATTGGATGAGAATTTTTATTTTGTTTTAAGACTGATGACGTTTTTTTTTTCTGTTTTTTTGTTGTAAATATTTGTGAGCAGCCATCAGAATTTAGCTTCACACTTGAACAATTGCCAGTTGGATACCAGTTAGAATACAAAAGATAATTTTATACGATAAAGAGATAGGTACATAGTGTTTGCTATGTCTTCTAGTATTCAACTATGAGCAAATGACAAGATCAAATAAATGTTTTATGACAAGATTTTAAAGGATATTTTTTTCTTGATTCAAAGTAATGTAAATATGCTATATTATGTACAACCAGACATTCCACGGCGTTGTTGATGTTATGTTTGATATGTTTTGTATAGTTATTTTGGCCGCGATTTTTTGGTTAGATTGTTTGATTTTTCCCTGTCAGTGGGATCTTTTGTTTTTGTTTACAGAAGAAATGTAAAGGTGTTATCAGTGTTGATATTAATCGATAGTCAATTTGTGTTACAACTCTAATAGAAAAAAAAATAGATAGATGGCTGTTCTCTTTGAGCTGCCCACAGTGCAATGTTAATTTTTATCTGAGGCAGCTCTTTGTGCCAATTGGTTTATAAAAATTCCATCCTCATTGTACATTTAGATTTGAAATTGTGAAAGTAATGAATTGTATGGGACTGTGAGTTACGTACTAGTGGTTGCAATGCCGCCATTTAGTTCGCCTGACTTGTACATATTGGAACCCAGCTACCTCAATGTTAAGTCCGTAAACCATAGATCTATTGACTGACTCTTCCAATGAATTATAGTGCAGCTAAATGTTTGAGTTGTTATTATATAGAGACATTAAATGCAATTTTGCTCGAAACCTCCTTCCTCTTTATTCACCCTGTAACATTATGAAACAAGCCACATACTTTCACAGAACAAAGAAATTTTTGTAACATTAAAGTTAAACTTGTACACAATTACATGATCGGGGCCAAACAAATCTCATAGGAATCAAAATTGATAAAAAGAATTTTAAAGAAAAGCAAATAAGAAAAAAAATACTGAGATTCAGCTACCAGAATTACATCTCATCTGAGGGAAAATCCAATTTCACCAGTCATTTTAACTAAATCATTTGTATGACAAGTAAATGCAGCCTCAAGTGCACAAAAGTATTGCAGTGTGCCCATAAAACAGTCTTCCCTGGGCGAAAAATTGTTAAATTCTTAAACGTCACACCAAATAACTCTGAGGAGATGGTAACAAAAAGTAACAGATTACAACCTATATGGCCGCCTGCTAAAAGCAGTTTCAGGCAGGAGGGCTGCAAGAAAGAAAAGCACGGTTGAAAAAAGTGCCACAGGCAGTATTCGAACGACTTACACATCTACGCAGGCAGGCACAGAGTTCACGCCAGCACACATACCTTCGAAGATGTGTTGACATGACAGGCAGTTCGGCTTGGCAGCAGGTGAAGGGCGGGGCCGGGGCCGGGCGGCGCGGCCGGGCGGGGGCAGGAGAGGGAAGTTCGAGACGCACAATGATCTGCCCAACTCATTACGGCGAAGGTGAGAGGTTCTAGTGAGCGAAGCACGACGCCACGCAATTAGCTCAACTTTTTCCGGTACACTTTCGCGCGAGCCGCCGCCAGAGAAGAAGAAAAAAGTTCCGTCATGCTTGGAGGGGGAGGGGGAGGGGCGTCCCTGGGGAAGGTCGGCGTCGTCGTAAAGGCGCTGTCGCCGCCGCGGAAAATGATTTATTTACGACCAGCTTCAGAGCAAGCAGGTTTGGGACTTTCGTAGTTTTACACGGAATTCAATTAAAATTGGAGGAAATATTTCCCCCGGGTTAGCAGCAAGCAGCCGGGCGACCCGACCCGCTGTCGTCGGTTTTGAATCACGAGCTGCAAACTGATGTGCAGCAGATACTCTGTGCTGCAATCAATCCCTTTTATCGCTGAGAGTACAGCTTTGGTATCTAGAACGTGGGGTATCTTCCTCCTATCATTTGTTTTGCTGGCACGGCCGCACGTCACGTCGCCGTCGGGCCGGGGCCTCTGGCCGGGGTGAAAGGGGAGCGGGGGCTGTAAGCAAACTCTTGTCAGAGACGACTTAAGGAAAGTTTACCCGTGGTTGTGCCAAATCAGAGCGACAATGACAATGCTGTGCTGGCGGAGCCGCCGCCGCCAACCTGGTGCTGGGCCTGGGCGGGGCGGGGGCGGGCCGGGCGAGGGGCAGCAGCGGGGCCGATGATGAGACTCTTGATGAGCGGCGGGGGCGGGAGGGCTGCGCGCGCTGCGGCGGGGCGCCGCGCCGGCCAAGCCTCGCACATCGCACACACTCCTATCGGGGAAGGGCCGGCCGAAGGCCGCGGCGGGGCCGCGGGGCAAACAGAAGGCTGACCAGACCAGGGCCGGGGTGGGGCCACCGTGGCCGTGGGCCACTCTCCCGGGGACGGGAAGGGGCCGCCAGCAAACCATCACGCCACGTCTGACGCCACGTCTGCTGTCGCGGGCCTTTGGAGGGCGAAAGCGAAGAGCAGGCCTCCAGGTGACGTGAACAACGCCACCATGTAGACCCCGCCGCGGTTGTGAACAACACCCACCGTCTGCGGGCCGGAGCCAGCAGCACACGCAGCACGCAGCCGTCGCCGCGGAGGCAATTTCACTTTTTACGTCTGCAGTACTGATCTTTAGCGGGGCTACTCCAATTTCAGGTTTACTCGTAAAACCTCTGCTCGGCGGGAAGGAACACCCCCCCCCCCTCTCCCCTTTCCGCCCTCCCAATACGCTAAGGCTATTCCTTGCACGACATTTCCCTGAGACCCTCCGCCAATTCACATGGAGCTGGACCGCTGTGCAGCTCGGAGCGCTGGCGAGGGAGGGGAAAGGGGAAGGGGTTTTACTTAGTGATGGGGAGGAGGGAGGAGGAGGGAAGGGGGGCAAGGCGCTGTTTGATTGAGAAGCCCTTTGTGGTTCCCGTAATCAGCAGGCAACCCGTAATCAGTAATCAGCCGTCAGCAGTCAGAGGAAGAGACGGAGCGAGAGAGGGGGGAGAGGGAAGAGGGGAGGGGTGAGGGGGAGCGCGCGGGAGCGAAAGAGACGGCGAGGGAGAGCGATAGGGTGCGGGGATAATTAGAGAGACGGGGGCCGACGTGACGTGATTAAAGGTGCTGCACATAGCTGGACGATCAAAACGAACGGGACCGACCGGGACGGTCCGGGACACGGTGACGGTCGGTGGCGGACTATCGCTCACCGCCGACCTGGGACCTGGCGGCGCCCGAAGCGCGAAACGCGTCCTTGTGCCAAACCTGGTGACGACCACGTCGACCACCGTGAGAGAGAGGGAGAGGGGGGGGGGGCGAGAAAACAGCGGGACGAAGCACCAACCCTTTGTAGGGTTGTTTGTCTACCTCCAGGCGTCTTTTGAACAAGGGGCCTACCCATCAGGCAATCAGTTGGGGTCGTAGTGGGTCCATGCACCACAACCTGACAGCCACTCCAAACACCACCTCGTCGTCATCACAGACCGGTAAGACCAGGAGGTAAGACACCTCACCGTCGATGAAGGAGGATTCACCCCGCCAGTTAGGCTACCACACGCGCGCGTGCGTGCGGGTTGCCTACTCGCTTGAGCCGTAAGGCGCCATGCAGAACCTCACCGCGCCCTTGCGGCCGCGGGTCTACACGTCCACCTCAGGCTCAGCCCCAGCTCAGTCCCCCTCCCGCCTCCGGCCCCTGTCCTCCGCCGCACGTCCAGGACGCGAGCAGCGCAGGACGTATACGCGAGGACGACGGGCGAATTTCGTCGTGCATGTCTAATGCGGGCCGATGGGGGATGGGGGAGAGCGCGAGGG